AAATAGCATTCCTGAGGTGTTTATAAACTAGTTGAGAAGAAAAGGTATATACCCTTAAAAAGTAAAAAAAATAATAGTTTTATAACCACTGACAAAAATAGGAGAGAATATTTCACAAGATAGAACATATTTAATTGTCAATGGAAAATTATTATAAAAGCTAAAGAGTAGGGGCCAACCCTGTGGCCTAGTGGTTAAGTTAGGCACACTCTGCTTTGGTGGCCCAGGTTTGGTTCTCAGACTCAGACCTACACCACTTGTCAGTGGCCATGCTGTGGTGGCAACCCACATGCAAAATAGAGGAAGATTGGTACAGCTGTTAGCGCAGGACGAATCTTCCTCAAGCAAAAAGGAAAAATTGGTAGTAAAAGTAGCAAAAAGAGATTTTGTATTATTCCATTGTATGGATAGACCACATTTTGTTAATCCATTCACCAATGATTTTGGGGTTATTTCCACTTTGGGCCTATTAAACTGTTGCTAATGCATATTTGTGTGCAAGTTTTAGATGGACATATGTTTTCATTTCTCTTGGATACATAGTCAGGAGCGAAATTGCTGGGTCATACGGTAAGTTTCACGTTTTAAGAACTGCCAACCTGTTTTCCAAAGTGGTTGTACCATTTTACAGTCCTCTGAGCAACACACAAGGATTTCAGTTTTTCCACATCCTTGTCAGTCTTGTTGATTGTAGCTATTTCTGCGGATAAGTGGTATTTCGTTGTGACTTCAATTTACATTTCCCTAAGGACTACTCACGTTGAGCATTTTTCATGTGAGGATTAGCCCATTTGTACATCTTCTTTGGTGAAATGTCTGTTCAAGTCTTTGCCCATTTTGTAACTGAGTTGTTTGTCTTCTTCTTATTCAATTGTAAGAGTTCTTTTTATGTTCTGGACACAAGTTCTTTTTTTTCTTTTTGGTTTAATTTTGTTATTTCAGCTTTATTGACATATAATTGACATATAAAATTGTAAGATATTTAAAGTATACATTATGATGAGTTGATATATATACATATATGTATGTGAAAGGATTCCCTCATCTAGTTAATTAACCTCACATGCTTATCTTTGTGTGTGTGTGTGTGAGAACATTTAAGTTCTACTCTCTTAGCAAATTTCAATTATACAATAGTGTTATCACCTATAGTCACCATGTTTTACATGAGATCCTCAGACCTTATTCATCTTATAGCTGAAAGTTGGTACCCTTTTACCAACCTCTCCCCATTTCCCAACCCCTAGGCCTTGGCAACTGCTTTTCTTCTCTCCCTTTCTCTGAGTTTGACTTTTTTTTTTAGATTCTACATGTAAGTGATACCATGCAGTATTTGTATTTGTCTTTCTCTGTGTGGCTTATATCATTAAGCATAAATGCCCACAAGGTCCATCTATGTTGTCACAAATGGCAGGGTTTCCTTCTTTCTCTTAGCTGAATAATATTCCAGTGTGTGTGGGGGGGGGGCGGGGGGGGGGTGGGTATATATATATATCTCATGTTCTTTATCCATTCATCCATTGACAGACAATTAGGTTGTTTCCGCATTTGGGTATTGTGAATAATGCTGCAATGAACATGGGAGTACAGATATCTCTTCAAGATCGTATTTTCATTTTCTTTGGATATACAACCAGAAGTGGAATAGCTGGATCATATGATAGTTCTATTTTTAATTTTTTGAGGAACCGCCATACTATTTTCCATAGTGGCCGACCAATTTACATTCCTGCCAACAGGGAACGCACGTTCCCTTTTCTCCACTTCCCTCTGCTCCCTGTTCTTGCCAACACTTGTTACTTCTTGTCTATAACATAACCATCTTAACAGGTGTGAGGTGATATCTCGTTGTGGTTTTGATTTACATTTCCCTGATGATTCTCGATGCTGAGCACCTTTTTGTATACCTGTTGGCCATGTGTATGTCTTCTTTGGAAAAATGTCTATTCAGTGCCTTTGCCCATTTTTTAATGGGATGGTTTGTTTTGTTGCTATTGAGTTTCATGATTTATTTATATATTTTGGATATTAACTCCTTATCAGGTATATGATTGGCAAATATTTCTCTCTTTCAATAGGTTACTTTTCATTTTGTTGATAGTGTTCTTTGCTTTCAGTTTTTTTGTTTTGTTTTGTTGCTTTTATTGCCTTTGCTTCTGGTGTCAAATCCAAAAATTTGTTGCCAAAACCCATGAGTTCTTTATCAGGTATAATTTGCAAATATTTTTTTCCCAGTCTCTGGCTTATCTTCTTATTTTTCTTAGTGGTGTCTTTTTTATAATAGTTTTATTGAGATATAATTTACATACTATACAATTCACCCCTTTAAAGTATGATTCAGTTGTTTTTAATATATTCACAGAGTCTTGCACCCGTCATCACAATCAATTTTAGTACATTTCATCACCCCACAAAAGAACCACATACTCACTCCTCATTCTTCCCAAGCACCCCTTCCAGACAACCACTACTCTATTTTCTGTCTCTATGGATTTGCCTGTTCTGGACATTTAATATATAAATGGAATCAAACAATATGTGGTCTTGTGTAACTGCCTTCTTTCACTTAGCATAATATTTTTAAGGTTTGTCCATCTTGTAGCATGTATCAGTACTTCATTCCTTTTTATTGCCAATCATATTCCATTGTAAGAATATACCACATTTTATTAAAATCATTCATCAGTTGATGGACATTTGGATTGTTCCCACTTTTTAGTTATTATGTATAATGCTGCTGTGAACACTTATGTGCAAATTTTGATATGGACAAATGTTTTCATTTCTCTCGGGTATATATGTAGGAGTGGAATTGCTGGGTCATATGTGACTCAGTGTTTAACCTTTTGAGGAACTGCCAGACTTTTTCTAAAGCAACTGCACCATTTTACATTCCTACCAATAGCTTATAGGGATTCCAATTTCTCCACATCCTTGTCAACACTTGTTGCTATCTGCCTTTTTATTATAGTCATCCTAATGGGTGTAAAGTGGTATTTCATTGTGGTTTTGATTTGTATTTCCCTAATGTCTAATAATGTTGAGCATCTTTTCATGTCCTTATTGGACATTTGTGTATCTTCTTTAGAGAAATGTCTTTTCAGATCCTTTGCCCATTTTTAAATTAGGTTGCTTGTCTTTTTATTATTGAGTGTAAGAGTTCTTTATGTATTCTAGATACAAGTCCCTTATGAGATATATGATTTGCAAAAATTTACCCAAATGTGTCCTTTGAAAGACGTTTTTAATTTTGATTGTCTAATTTATTTTTTATTTTGTAGTTTATGCTTTTTGTGTCATATCTAAAAAGTCATGGCCTAACTCAAAGTCATAAAGCTTTTCTCCTATGTTTTCTTCTAAGAGTTTTATAGTTTTATTCTTATTTTTTAGTATGGTCCATTTTGAGTTAGTTTTTGTGTATAATGCGAGGTAAGGATCTAAGTTCATATTTACTTGTATCGTGGAAAGATCTCAAAAAGTATGCTAAGTGACAAAAGAAAATTACAGAATATATATTCAGCATGATACCATTCATGCAAAATTTAAAAGCATGAAATATCATTTATTATTCATAGTTACACATGTTCACATCAGTAAAAAGTTTCACACCACAATCTTTGATAATGGTTGCCTCTGAAAGGAGAAGAGGAGGAAGAGACTGGAACTAGAAGGAATTGGTGATCAAAGGGGTCTTCAGAATTAGCTGCAATGTTTTTAGGTTGAAATAAATCTGACAATATTAACAATTATCAATTCAAAGTGGTTTATTATGTTATACTTTTTTCTCTTTCTATATTTTTTAAATTTCTGAAATTAAAATACACACAGGATTCAAAGAACCGTGGAGAACAAGCCATTTCTGCTTAGTTCACACCCACACTGGTTGCAGCATCGAGCTGAGGCTTCGAGCATGCAGTCTGTCAGCCTGCTCAGGCAGGTCCTCTCCGTATGTGGGGTTCCTGAGCTAGATCTCAGAAAGATAATTATCTTCATTTGAACTCTTTCTCACACTTTGGCTTATATTTTTCCAGTTTTGCTTCCACAGAAAACCCCAGTCTATATGTCACACTCAGTTTCCCTTGCTCAGAAGAACAGCAGAGCCCAGATCCCAGGGCGCTCCCTTTAACTAGGGTTTTTAAATTTTATCCCATTGCTCCACGCTTTCTCCAAAACTATACCAGAGCCTTCACAATGAAAGTTCAGTTTCTACTAAGCATGTGTCCATTCTTACCTAGTCTCCTTGGGATGGCGCACAAAAGACCTCTGTGTGTGTGTTCGACAAGCACAGTGTGACGAGCCAGATGACCTGGCTCCCGGGGAGCAGGCTGCAGCTGAGCTCCAGACACACACACTCAGGCGCAGATTCCGTGTGGTCTGGGAGCTGCAGAGGTGCGGAGTATGGGGCGTTGCCCTTGGAGTAGAAGGGGTTATTCCAACATCTCTTGCTGACGTGCTGTGTAGCCTGGCACAACACTCTGACTCTTTCATCCTTGTTTTTCTTCTCTAAAATGGATACAAAAATATATACCCTTTCTACGCACGAGTTCTTGCGAGGATCAAATGAGATCATGTCCGTGAATGAGGTTGCAAACAAAAATGAAAGGTGTTTGGTTGTTACTTCCCAACTGTGTGACCCCAACCCCTCTCACATCTTTGACACAGAGACTCTGCTCTGTCTGTCCAGCTGAAAGGCCTCCACCTCTCTGTGCTAGCCTCTGCTTTCCCTCCCACTGTAGTCCATTCTTTCTGTGTTCTTGGTCCCTCCTCTCCCTCCTTACCCTTCATTCTCTTCCCCTCTCCCTTCCTTTTTCCTTTTCTTCCTCTCTGCAGTCCTGGTGGCAGCCTGACTCCTTCCTCTCCAGTGTGGTCATGCAGTGCATTGCACCACTGAACTGAAGCCCTGTTGGCTGGCTCAGATTGACTGAGGAAAAGGACTTCTCCCCTTCTTCAAAGAGGTAAGATACCTGAGATAACATATTTTATCTCTTTGACTCTCCCAGGCTCAGGCCACAGGATCGCCACATACGTCGCCCACTCACGGAGGCAGCCGCTCAATGCCTATGCCTGTCCGCTCAACGTCGGCTGGCTCCACCCCCACCCACTGTCCACAGGACCCACTCAGCGGAGTCGGGGGAGACATGCAGGAGGCCTTTGCACAAGGTGAGTTTCAGGAGCAGAGTATAATGGGGGGCTGAAGGGGTTTGGGAACATGGACAAGATTCCTACTGAGATTTTTCTGGTTTCTTTTGTGCACTTAGCTTTAAATGATCAGACTTTCATACACAGTATAAATAAGCCAAGTGCTGGCCCCCTCTCTGTGGATGGGCTGGTTTCCAGTGGGAGGTCTGCAGGCTTTGTATGTGTGCAAAGAACAGGGTTTCTGGGCTTCTGTGCTCTGTCTTTTTCTGGGTTGTGGGAAGTGCCTTGTCCTTTGGGCTTTGCCTCCTCCAGAGGAAATGGATGGCATAATTCCTAAAGTCATCTGCTTGGCCCGGAAAGTCTGTAGAGCAAGCAAGAGGAAGAGTGGAACTCTAAATAGAGTCTTGCTGAAGGCACATTCAGTATATGATTGCCACAGTTGTCTGTGTGTGGTTGCTAGCACCCAGCAATGTTACGTAGTTGGGGGAAGATGAGGTGGCTAAGGAGGTCATGTTGGGGTGCAGACAAAGAACAGGGAGGGGGTGGTGCTGGAGAATAAATTCCTGCCTAAAGCTGAGAAGCGCCTTGGAGCAATGCTTATTCTGGAACCCAACTCTTTTGATCGTATGGCAGCTAAGAAGCATGGAGTTGACAGGGTTCTGCGGTTCGGGTAGAGAAGAAGAGGGAGGAGAACGATGGACTTGGGTACCTCATGCTCCCGATGTGCCTGGCAGCGGGTGGAGCTGCTGTGGCCCCCTTTACCCTTAGGTATTCTGCCCTGTGTTCAAGGGCCTGGCAGACTGAGGCATTTGCTCAGCTCTCTCTTCTCCGTGCCCACCCACCTGGCATCGCCATCTGCTCTGACTCTCCTCAGGTACGAGGAGAAACCTCCGCAATGACCTGCTGGTGGCCGCTGACTCCATCACCAACACCATGTCATCCCTGGTAAAGGAGCTCCACTCAGGTGAAGTCCAGAGCTCCCGGCTGCCAGCCTCATGCCTCCCCTTCTGTACCCACGCCCTCCTCACTACTTCTCCACGTGGTAAAATGTCATCACGTAGCACACACCTCCTCACTTCACCACTCAATCTTTTTGCCTTCTAGGAACACACTGGATGTCTTCTCCAGAGAGCCTTTCTCCCATGTGTGATCACATAGAGATAATTACACATTTAGGTTTATCTTAAGAAGATGCCTTATGGAGCAAACACAATTCAGAATTTAAAGACAGTTAAATCTTTAAGTACAGTTAGGCCCCTTCCTCACTCCTAATTTGTCTTCCCTCTGTGCTCCATCCACAGCTGCTCTTTCCTAGGTCTGACCGATCATATTCTGAAGCTTTCCTGGATGACTGGAACCGAATCAGCCACAGAAGCTTCTGGACTCTCTCCCAGCTGCCTTTCTGCTCTCTCCTATTTGATTTGGTTTTGAAACCCTATTCTCTCTCTTTGTCCTTGCCTAGGCTCTCATTTCACTTGAAGTTCATGACCTGAGTCTGTTGCTTCCTTCACTCCTCATTTTCAGTCTTATCTAATTCTTCTTTCTCAGTCTCTCCATTCCTTAGCTGTTTCAGTGATTTTCCAGAGACCCTTACCACATGGCATTTTTCCCCTTCCATAAAACCCAGGAAAGAGAAGAGATAAAAGGCCATTCACATGTCATCATATCTTCAAGAATCCCCATGACTGCATGAGTCACATAGCTGTCAGATAGTTACTAATTTTTTTTACAGTGATTGGATTCCTACATTTTATCTTAAACAATCAGGTTCCCTTCCTGAGTGCTATAGGTCACTCATACAGATGGCCCTCTTTTTTCATTTCGCCTAATGTAGTGCTTTTAAATACCTTGCAGTGGCTTAACAAGGTTATTAGATAAAAATATAAAACAGTATTTCCATGGACTGTTCCAACACATACATTGAAATCATCAGTCCATGCTCTCAGGGAAGGCAAGCCTTGGGTATTTCTTCAGACCTTTGTCAGAGGAAGCGTACGCCTTTAGTGTTGTCACGGGACCAGAGCAAGGTCTGGGCCATGACTTTGCTCTCAGATCTGCCTATTTTCATTTAGAAGAGAGTAAGTTTGTGGCCTAGGTTGGGTTTTCTAATGCAGTTAAGATAAGATGCTGATTCTCCTGTGCAGAGAATGTTATGGTGACGTTGTCTCCATTCTCCTGGTCCCGTTTCCCAATCCCCATCAGAAGAAGCGATCGCCTTTGAGATGATTTCATAGGTGATTAGAAAGTCCCTTCCCTAATATAGCTCCTCACAGATGCCAGAAATCCCACTTTTAGAGGGAATTTCTTAGGGGATTTCAGACCATGGAAATTAAGCACACTTGTGCCTCATGGCCACTTTTTAGAGTTTATGCAAAATAAGTGGTTCATGAGCTTGTCACACTAGGATGAGAGGTTATTGTGCATCATTAAACATAAAACGCATGGAGACCAAACAGCTTCACAAAAACAAAAAGTTTTTGGCGATACTTGGCCGTCTCCCGTAGCAGGAAAGGATGATTTTAACAAAATTAGGTAATATAATTTGGAAGGTACCACCTTCACAATCGTGTTGTCCTGTCAGTCCCCTTACTTTAGAAATGCAGTGAGTGGTTATCAGAAAAGTGATTTGCCTAAAGCTGTGCAGCTTGAAGGAACAAACTGGTCCTAGAACTCAGGTCTTAAGAACATGAAGCTGGTTCTCGTACCTCCAGACCGCCATATCCCCACACAGGACAAGGCGTCAATTCTGCAGTCCCTCGAGGGCCCCTTTCACCGAGGCTCTACTCTCAAGCCCTGAAACCCATAGGTAGATGTGGACTAAGTCCACCTGTGGCACCATATCCCTGTGAAATGCAGAAACAAACTGCCTTTACATGCGTGGCTGCCAGTCTCTCAGTGACTGGGAGAGCCCTGCCCAACGCCAACACATTCTTACTGTTACTATTGAGGTTTCTGTTAGGATGAGATTAGACACTCGAATTGTCTTAAATATCTTCTGCACAGTGTGGACATACTGTTCATGACCATAGTTTGCCCTCCTCATCTTTTTTGAAATATTTTCACAAATAATGGAATCTTAGAGTTGGAAAGGGTATTAGAAGTCATTTAATCCAGCTTGCTTCCCAGTTTAAAAGTTCTCTGAATATTTCCAGTGAGCTCGTTCATGACCAGCTCGAATCATTGGGAAGTTCTTCCATCTCAAGGAGCCAAAATCAGCCTTTCTGTAACCAATTTGTCCTTGTTCCTCCCTCAAAGTCTACCAGAGTAAGTTCATTCCCACCCCTTCACATTAGCCTTTCAGGTGCTTGATGGCGGAGAGCATGGCTCGCCCTAAGCCTTCTCTGTAGGCTAACTGTTCGTACTTCCTTCAGCATTCCTCGTGTGACGTGGTTGTCACTGTCCTCCTGTCTGCCTGTGCTGGGATGTGGCCGAGTGTTTCAAGGCCCCAGTTCAAAGCGGGTTCCCGGGGCTGAGCACACTTCTCTCTGCAGGGCACAGTGAGCGTGGCCTCCCTGAGCAGGCCCCTGGGGAAGCAACCTTAGATGGCATTAGCTTTTCCCACACAGCCACTCTGCCCTGTTCAGTCATTTTAAGTTTGTTGTCAGCTCAAACCTCTAGATTTTTTCTTCTTCTTTTTTTTCTGGAAGCTGGTGTTAAGCTAGGTGTTCCCCACTGTGCCGTTGGATGGTTGTGTTCTTGACCCTGAATACAAGATCTTAGCTGTATCCCTAGCAGATGTCGTCACCTCAGGGAAAACAGGCATAGAGAAGAGGCAGCTCCCCAGCCCAGTCACCAGGGAGGCCAGCGACAGAGCCAGCAGCAGCGTGGGTGACATCAGGCTGCTCTGTTTCTGTGGGCTCAGGGCTTATGGGCAGCTCGTTTTAGGCAGTGCTGGGGCGTGGACACACACGGTGCAGACCAGGTGCGTGTCAGCCCCTGGAGGCCTACAGCCGTGAGCCTTTAGCTGGGGCTTCATCCCAAGCGCCTCAGTTACTCCCTTCATCCTCCTCCTATGCTTGTACTGTGCTGAAGGATCACTGGCCTCCTTGGACTTGTTTTCACAGCAGAGGAAGGTGCAGAGGAAGAAGAAGAGAAGATGCAGATTGGGAAAGACAGAGGTAAAGGCAGCTCCACGGGACCGCAGTCCAAATGGGAGCAGAGCCACATAGCCCCCGAGGGAGACCCCGCGGCCTTTCGTTTCTGCTTTCCTTCCTGCTGCCACCTTTCCCCAAGGCTTTCAGACCCCACAGTCCTTCCACCTGTTTTTCCCAACTGACCATCAAGTTTTCCCTAGAGATGATAGTGTCAGTCAATCAACAGACGCTTTCTGACTTCTTGATGCTATGATAGATGTTTGGGATACAGGAAGTAGATACAGAGGAAACACAAATCACGCCCCCTCACCTCAAGGAGTTTAAAATATAGTTAGGAAAACAAGACCAAGATGTGCAAAATAAATAGGAGAGAAAATGAAGTGGCAGGAAAAGTTAATCATCAAACTTTGACGGTAGGATTATAAATACAAGAAGCATTTCTACAAAGGAATATTCTGGGCAGAATAGCCAAATGGTTTTGTGGCTTCATGGAAGAATGAAGAGCGATAAAGCAAGGTATCAGTGAAGGACAGCAACGCCATCCTAGTTTTATTGCATATAAAACCTACTTAATAACTTGTACAAAGAGCTGTGCTAAATGATTTCCATGTGTGATCTCATTTAATCCTTAACAACCCTGTGGGATACATAATAATATCCCCCATTTTACCAATAAGGAAGTAGCTCAGAGAAACACAGATCGTGCAAATGTTAAGAAGCAGAGATTGGATTTGAATTGGATCTTTCTGACTTCAAACTTCATAGTCTTAATCTTTATGTTTCTCTGTTATAATGAATAGATAAAATTCTCTTTGGACATTTGAGAGTTAGCTGTTATTTCTATCACATTTTAATATGTATATTGCCAGATTCCTCCAAAATGTAAGCTCCACACGGCAGAGATTTTGGTCTGTTTTGTTCAGATTTTGTCCCCAGTGCCTAGAACAATGCCTGGCCCATAGTGGGATGTCAATAAATTAACAAATATAAGGAAATAAACGGGGATGAGCTCGAGAGCATTTTGTCAGGGGTGGAGATGGAGTGGCTGCTGTGAGGAGGCAAAGGCATGGAAGGAGAGAAGGAGCCAACACCAGCTCGCTCAGGTCCCTGCTGGATGCCCTGCAGTTCACACACCCTTCCTGTTTGATTTCACAGCCCCAGGAGGGAAGGGTTCTAGACAGGGCTCAGAGCGGTTGAATAACTTGCGCAGGCAGTAAGTGGTAGAGCCTGGTTTCAGCCCAAGTATCTCTAACTCCACTTCCCGTGCTTTAGTCTGAGCTGACTAGTAGACTAAGTGAAGTGAAAAAAAGTCTTAAGGAAAGGTGAAAAGAAGTCAAGACGGAGATACAGACAAGGCAGCTGTGATGGGAAGGGGAAGCACCTTGGAATGGGGGTCTGCAGCGATGTTTGCCCATAGAAGGGGGTGTGGATGAGAGAGGGAGGTCTTTGCAGTTTGTCAGCAAGGACACTAAAATTGCCAAGGAAGAAAGCAGGAGAAGATTAAAAACATACTCCAGGTGCTGAAATCATCTAGTGAGTCAGAGCGAGGCCTGGGAGAAAGTGGACAATAGCTGTGATGAACTGATGAAAATGACATATTTGGCATGGGTGTCAAAAGGTCAGAAGTAGAGGGCAGCAGTGTTTGAAGCATCTAGAAATGCTACAGAGAAATGTGGAGAAGACTGATTTCCTTGTGCCAGTAGGGGACTAGGAAGAAGGCAGGAGGGTTGTAGTGCAAGAGGCGAAAAGAAGAGGAGATAACACAGAGATAAATTTACACTTATGTAAACACACGCTCCACACACAGGCACACACGCACACCCGCAATCCAGCCAGATCCCGGCATTTGTGTGGAATGTTCTTGGCTGAAGACGTAACAGCTGCTGCTTTGGCCTCCCTTCCCATATGCCCTCCCTTCCCCAGTAGCTTTCCCTACAGCCTCTGCTCCATCTCCCTCCAAGGCACAGAGGACTCTGCCCGACCACTTGGGCCTGGCCCTGACATGGACGCCAGCCCTTAGTCCGGGCTCATCTAAGTCTGGATGTAGGCCCCATCTCATATATGGACTGGGATGGTTTCCCTTGCCTGGTGCCTCCTGGCCTCAGGGGCCCTCTGCCTCTGCACCTGCGTTGCCTTGTCAACACTTCTTCTTTCTGTCCCTCTTGCTCTTAATATCTCCTCATCTCTCTTTCAATGCATATAGCAGAGTTTCTGTATGTCTATGTGAAATCTTTTTGTGAGAATGCCTGAATTTCTATTCCTGTGTATTGTCTCCGAGGAGAAGAGTGTTAAGAGTTGGGGCAAGAGTTGGGTAGAGTTTTAAAAAAAGTTTAACTCTCAACATTGCATAGGTCCTAGAACACATCCTTGTAGCTAAAATGTAGCTGTTCTGTGGATGTGCTTATCAAACCAAGCGTTTTTATGCAGGGACCTCCTGATTCTCTCTGTGATCTGGGCATGCGATCTCACTGTAGACTGACATTGCAGTAACGAATGTCACTTAGACATTAGAGAGCAGTAACTGTCAACCATAAAGAGAGGGAAGATTCGCTTCTTTGGATTGAAGTGCTGACATAAGATAAACACAACCTGGCCAGCACCCTGTCAGGCAAACAGAGTCTGCTCAAAGCAAAATCTGTAAGAGGCAAATGGACACTTTTGCACAATTCATGACCGAGCTGGACACGCCAGCCACATTCGTCCCTACCTCAGGCCTCTCCCTGCCCTGCCCTGGCTCTCTGTCTGGCTGCATCCTGGGGAAAGCTTCTGCTGCATTGGGTTGGGGTCCCCTTCCTCCTTTGCACCCCCTCACCTCTTCCCTTGAATGGTGAGTACTTGTAACTGAGACTGCACAGGTGAAGCATAGATGTCCCCATATGACTTCAGAGCCCTCAGTGCCTCTTGGCTACTCCAGAGCCTCATCTTATGCTCCTGTGTCCTTCAGTATTGCCTCTCCCAGAACCTGACGTCCACGGTGTTAGGAGCTGTCAGTCCGGTCTGCACACTTAAGGAACGCTGGTGCATGTCTGGTAGACTGACACAGGAGTGCTCTATGAGAACAGACACTGGCTTTTGAGGCTCCAGGCGGTGTTCGAGATTCCAGAGTGAGCCAGAGTGTGACTGAGTGTTCCCAACAGATAAGTCTGCAGGAAGGAAATCCTGCCCTTCTTGAAGTGTGGTTCACTTTCGCTTGTTCACCTTCAGAACCGGACGGCGGCGCCCCTGATGTAACTGCTCCCTAGACTTCAGGTGGCTTCGTTTCCATTTCAGTGTTATTGTTTTCCTTCTCCTGAGAGGCCTTGTCTCCATGGCTGCTTGATGTCAGTCGTGGCTGCTGGTAGTAGGTAGCATGACTCTCCCCGTTTTCACACCTGGTCAGGGAAAGTCGGCCTGTGAGGAACAAAGGAGAGAGGCAAGTGCAGAAGCCCATGGGTGCGTGGGTCAGGGAGGCCCCAGGAGAAGATCGGGGGTGGTGAGAAGACCCTGGGTGTGACCTTGGTGTGTTGTTTGCTGCACAGGTTAGCGGAGGAGCCGGGACAGAGAGGAAGCACGGTAAGTAGAGTGTTCTCTGTCCTCCCCACGGCCCTCTTTCCCTCCCCTCCTCTTCAGTCACACTTCCCAAGCCAGAACCATCCTAACAAGTGGAGATTGAGTTAGGGTTTCCTTTAAAGAGCCCAGCCACACCTCTCCCTCTCCCAGCCCTGCAGCATACCCGCTTGGCTCAGTTTCCAGGTCCTGACCCGTCTTGTGCTGCACTGGGCCTGGGCCTCAGGCAGGGCTTGGTGTTGCCTGTGTCTGGATGCACCGGCAGACCAGACACTGCTGGCTGAAACGGGCCCTGGGAGCAGGCGTCCCAGGTTGGCTGAGAGCCACCCACTTCCCGGGGCTGCCTCTGCCTCCTTGCTCCTTATTTCCCAGAGTCATTGTCATTTCTCTCCTGGGATCCAAACCACAGCCAGCGCGCCCCTGGGGTTCCATCATCCAGAGCCAACCCGCTGTGCTACCTGACCACAGGCGCATCCTTGTGTCATGCTGGGTCATGCAGACTCCATAAAGCCGACCAGGCCGTTTCCCATGGTGCCTGGCCAAGCTGCACCTTCTCACTTTCTAAAGCAGAGTTAATAAGAGTACAGTTCTCCTCACAGGCAGATGCCCATTGCCCTTAGGAATTAGTCTTTCACATTTTTCCATCTCAAGACCTTGACTCTTATCTAGTCCTGGTTCCAAGATATTGCAGCTCTGGCCATGCTCACTAAAAGGAAGGGACGAAAATAATTGGACAGCCTATCAGTTCTGGAGAAGAGTTCCTTCAAGGATAGATTCCTTTGGTGCAGCCATGAGATTTCTGTTTTATTTTTCAATCTTTTCTCCCCCCAATCCCTCCACTTCTTGTGTTTAAAAATTAGGCCATCTTCCTCAGTTACAGATCTTCCAGCCGGAAGAGCCAGGGCTGCAGCCCCATGATCCAGAAAAGGACCTTTCCCAGACACCCCCTTCTCCTCCCCCAGTAGTCTCCTCCTGGAGCAGCCTCCAGGCCTTTTCCTGAGCCCTCCCTCTCATCTGCACCGGGCCCTGGAGCAGCTCTGGTCGCTCTCACTCGGGACCTGCCGCCTCTGAGGCTGTGCTGACTCAGGGATCCGGCGGGCTGCAGGTGGGCAGACCCAAGCTGTAGAAGCTCTCTCTGCCCTGGAAATGACAGAGCCTCCGGGGCTTGGGCAGGTACTACCTACACGCTGCACATTCAGACAAGGCCCTTCCCTACGGCAGGCCTGGGCTGCCATGGCAGACGAGGGAGTCAGGAGCTGACTTGCCCTTCGGGAGCCTGCCAGAGCCCCTCTCCCCAGGGCACAGCGGAACTGGGGGATAAGGAAGGGCCTGGTAGAGCCATCCCCCCGCCCCCTCTTCATGCAGGTGAGGACACTAAGGCTCACCACCAGGAGCTTGGTGCCAGAACTGGAGTCGGAGCTGGGTCTGCTCCTGACCCTGTCCTCTGACCCCGTCAGGAGCTATGAGACTCTCACCAACAGCAGAGTCATGAAAAGCATAAAGTTCCATGGACCGTCGAGTTCCGTTCTCCACCAGCTCGAAGCTACGGCTTTCTCCCCTGCCACTCAGGATTTATGGACACATCTCCAACCTCTTTGCGCTTCTCCTCACCCACAGTTCTTCCCAAGAAACCACCACATTCCAAACCTTACACTGCGAACCCAGTTCTTTCTCTCTTCCCTGGAAACATTGCCTGACCCTGTGGCCTAAGCAGTCACTCTCAAAGACTCTGGGTTAGGTACCCCCAGAAAACACAATGCCCCTTTCCCTGAAAGGGGGCCTGAGCTCTTTGCGTCTCCTGAGTTGGAAGGGAAGGATCCCAACAGCCCATCTCGGTACATTGTCTCATCCCCAGCAGGTGTTAGCGTTTGCTCCGAGACCCTCGGTAGTGCCCGTGAGTAACTTGTGTCTGTCCTGCACAGGCACAGGGGATGTGGAGCGAGCTGGCATCGACATGAGGAAGGCGAGGTCCTCCCCCAGAGGCGCATTCCTGTTCATCTTTCCAGTGCACACCTGGACCAGGCTTGCAGGCTGCCAGACGTCACCCCGCCAGGGAGAGGAGAGCCCGAGCCCGTGGGACGTGGGAGGGCCCTCCAGATGCTGCTGTTGGTGGGCCTCCCCCTGGCGCAGTCCTGCATGAACTAGCATCTTCATCACTCCCCTTGGGGCATGGTCTCATCTCTGCAACAGGAATTTACCAGGAGGTTGAAAAGAGAAAAGAAACAGCAGGAATCTCCAGTGTGTGTGACCTGATCGAGTTCTTGCTGGTGTCTTGCCAGCACATGGGGTGCTCCCCAGAGTGGGGGCACGAGTTTCCTCCCTACTTTTGACCTTTAAAAACCAACAGATTTTCTTCCCTCTGTCGTGCAAAGACAGCTTCAGGCCTTGCTCAGTTCTACAGACATTCACACCCTGGCCACAGTGCTAAAAATAGCCTCCTTCCTTTCTCTCACACTGGTTAGCTTCCGCCCCGTTTGATGCCACTGCTCTGCAGCCTAGGCGGGAAGGGGGAGCAAAGAGCTCAGCACTGCAGCCCTGGGCGATTCCACCTCCAGCCATGAGAGGATTCTGTGCAGCCAGGCCAGGGGCTGCCGGGCAGGGAGCACTGACCCTTGACCGCCAGAGGGAGCACTAACCCCAGGGTGCTGTGCTCACGCGGCCTCTCCCCTTCGCAGGGTTCCATTCTGCTCTGCACTCATGATAATCAATCCCAATTCCCAGTGATTTTCATTTATTTTTTTCTCTTCCCTGGGCTCCAGGATGTTATTTTTAGTAGAAGAACTGCTATAAATATTTATAAAGGGTAGTGACTGGAATGAAGCGAGAGGCCCCACAGCTGGTTCTCACATCCCCCCAACATACACACCTCTGCAGACCTCTGCCCGCTGCCTGAGGAGGTCTGTGCAGAGCCAGTGGGCTCAACCCATAGGCATCCACGGATAGAGTCCCACGGAAGCTTCGTGAGGGAGCTGTTGGGTAAGAGAGAAGGGGCGGGTTAGCTCTGTCCGTCCTTCCTCTCCACGTGCCTCTTCTCCCTCATTTACTCCCGTGTCTAACGGACGTCAAGACGCTCTGTTAGGCCCAAGTCCCCAGAGTCATAAGCAGTAGGTATGAGGGGCCGGTGCAACTTGGATTGCTCCAGCTGTGTGAGAGCACGCAGGAAAGCGGGAGCCCGGAAGCTGGTTTCCCCTCAGGTGTGAGAGCGCTCCCCTCCTAGCCTCAGGAGAAGCCCACACCTAGTGGAGGGCTTGCCTCCCACAGCAGCTCCTGGGCACTGCCTAGGTCCACACTGTGACCAGCACTGAGCTGAGGCCCTGGAGAGCCAGCAGGGGCTCTGGTAAAAGGAAAACACTGGTGGAAAGGAGCTCCCACACTCCCAGGAAGCAGGGCTTGGGGCTTGCCTGGAGGCCAGAAGAGGCAAGAGTGACAGTAACCACGTGAAAGTTCAGGGGACGCTCGGTGCCAACCAATGGTGAGATTCGTTGTGGGGGCGCTACAGCAAGCTCTTGGAGATCACGACGCTGTTAGGTGACTCTGTGCTTCCCTCCACCATCCTGACTGCTCACACTCTGTGAACTGCTTGCTTCTTCCGGAGCAGAAAGAGCCAAAGGAACAGTCAGAGTAAAAGCACCAGTGGCTCCAGACAGCCGAGTGCATGTGCTGAGGTGCACGTGGCATATGGCAGTGTCTCCTGGGCCCCATGTCTCCTGGGCCACTCCACCCTGGGAGGCTGCCCGGCCCGCAAGGCTGATCACTCAGCAGGTTCTCTTGCTGTCTGCTGGCCTCTGCAAAGGAGTAGCCTTACTGTGTTCAGCCCCAGGAGAGGCTCTGAAGTCCCGACCTCTCGCCATTTACCAGCACCTGGAGGGTGATAAGGGGGCTGGAGGGAACCACAGGGATGAACTCAGATGCCGGCATGGCAGTGCATGGAGTGTCCCATTTATATATAAATTCTTGTTGACAGTTGGTTTCTTTTAGAGCTGGAATGTCCACCATTAGCTAAGGCCACTCCTGACTTCTTGGCATCTGCTTTAGACCACAGGTCCATGTCAGAAGCTGAAAGCCGAGTCCCTTTCCTCAACCCTGACCTGGGATACAGGTGGCCATCCTATAGAGAGCACTTCCTGCTTAATTGCTGTATGACCATTCAGGAGTCTAATTTAAGTAGATGATCTTTTGAGAGAAGTGACTGTCAGCATCACGGACCGCCTGGGCTGGTGCTGTTTTGTAACTGTGAAGAACCCTAGAGAGGTCCTAAAGGCATCCTGGGTTTTGAGGAAATTGTGGCTGCACCAAGCTCAGGTCCATAGATCCCAGCCATGCCGAGGTTCCGTGTACTTTCACAGCTCCGTCATCTGCTGGCTGTGCTTTCTCTACTGGCAGACTCCCCCTCTTCCGCATTGCTTACTCCCTGCTCTTGTAGTCAGTGACAGCTTCAGAAAGGTATGTTGCTATGGCAATGCCTAGAGCCATCTGAATTCCTGCTGCACCTTCTGAAGAAAAGGGCTTATGAAGAACCATTTGGTGGATTCCAAATCTAGCCTTCCCTGGCCTCTCCTCTCCTCCGTCAGGGGTCAGATGCCCGCTGCAGACTGAAGTGTGGCAGGTAGGTAGTCCATTCTTGCTGGAGAAGACACTCCCCATAGCTGCAAGCCCCATGCACCTGGACAGGTTCTCCAGGTGTGGATCAGGAAACTGAGATTGCCTACCTAGAGCTCTTAGGTAAGACACAATACCAGTGGTTCTTAAACTTAGAATCCCCTGGAAGGCTTGGGAATCTATGGATAGCTGGGTCCCACCCTCAGAGTTTCTGATTCAGTAGCTCTGGGGTGGAGCCAGAGAATTTGCGACTCTAACAAGCTCTCAAGTGGTGTTGGTGCTGTTGATCCAAAGACCACCCTGTGAGGACCACTGTACACATTTATGAGGAGGAGAAAAGTATCCACGTGAATGCAAGAAGCCATCGCCAGTCAGGTGGAGAAGGGCCAGAGTCAGTTGTCTCTTCTAGAGAAAGAAAGAGGAGGGCCTCTGCAGTCCCATGGCCAGGGGCCCTGGGAAACACATGCTGGGACTGGTGGTCCTACACTGTTTCTTTTTGATCCCCAACAATCAGTAAACAAAGACCTGTCCCCAAGATGTGAAGGAGGGGGCAGCATCACCAGTGAAGCCTTGAACTTAGGGGAGATCAACATCGTGAGCTTAGTGGCTGAGTGGGTGGTGCACAGTCTAGAGTCTTAGCGGGGATGGAGGCCAACGGCTTGTGTGGCTCAGGAGGGAGAAGAGGAGAAGGGGTGTCGCAGGCAGCTAGCCCCCACAGTTGGGCTGTTACACCAAGATGCTTTCCCCAGAATGCAAATACGATATTCCACACTAAACAATATTCGGGCCCCAGCTAGACTGCTTCCTTTTACCCTACCTGAAGCTCCAACTTCCGTGCGTAGTATTCTCCTAAGAAACAATGTTTACTGGAGGACCTAAGATAAATGTTGCAGGCCTACCCAGTTATGAATGGCAGATGCCAAGGATTCTGATGCCTTCTCTGCACACAGAGCCCCACCAGGAAAACCAGATTTCTGTAGTGATGGGCTTGGTGTCTCTCCTGCCCAGGCATGTCTGCAAACAGGTGGAGCACACTGGCACCATCTGCCTTCTACCTTCTACCCCAAGGCAGGACAGCTAGCGTAGGGCCATGGCATAAAAGAAGTGGGCATTGAGTCAGTTTACCAGTTCCAGAAAGCAATATTCGTTTTCCAGTTCTGTGAAGGTTTGGATGGATGGTGAGTGAAGAGGCAGACACCAGATAGCCATCCTTGTATTTCTGAAGTAAATGGAGCCTAGCACTACTAAAGGTCAGAGATTAAGAAGGCACAGGTAGCGTATGGTGGGACTGTCATTCATTTGAGAAGATACTTGATGAGGACTATGTGCGGGCCTCTAGGCCCCCTCTGCAGGTCTTCAGGATTCACTGAATGCAGGGTCTTCGGGGTTAAGGTTGAAGCCTGGTCTGAGTTCATAACTAGGGAGCGAGGGGTGAGCTTGGAGGCACTGCATTGTCCTCTGAAGGCCAGCAGACTGGGGAGAAGGGGTGCAAACTGAGGCCACTGTTGGGGAGTGGGGGGGGGGGCATAATGGTCACTGCTGAGAGTCGGTTCTAGTCACTTAGAAATGTTGATCTTTGGGCCCGTGAATATGAGAGAAGACTGGGAAGAGTGTCCTCACCAGTTAAAGGATCATGATTCATGTATAGAAACCCTATAGCCCCTTGGGGCCCAGGCTCACTGCCAAATAATGAGGAATAAATTATAATTCATAATCAAGTATAGCCTGGGCCAACCTGGTGGCGCAGTGGTTAAGTTCGTGTGTTCCACTTCCTGGCGGCCCAGGGTTCGCCGGTTCGGATCCCGGGTGCGGACATGGCACCACATGGCATGCCATGCTGTGGTAGGCATCCCACATATAAAGTAGAGGAAGATGGGCACGGATGTTAGCTCAGGGCCAGCCTTCTCAGCAAAAAAGAGGAGGACTGGCAGCAGTTAGCTCAGGGCTAATCTTACGCAAAAAAAAAAAGAAAAGTGTAGCCTGAATCCCCTTCAGCCCCAGCAAGAGTCCTCAAGCAGATAATAGGAGAACTTGTGAGGAAGTTAGCCTACCGCCATTGCTGTACACCTTCCCCCCCGCCCCCCACACACACAGTGGGCCCTCTGGCTTGCAAGGTTTAGGCCGAAGGTCCTGGGGCTTTCCCTGAGGAAGCAAAGTGACTCAGCGCCAGACTCTTGGGTCTGGGGGCCATCAACAGCAGCAGGCATGAAGACCACCTGTACCCGGTGGGCTTTTCGTTCAGGTCCCAGCTCATGGGTCATGCCTTCTCCACCATGGTCTAGTTCCAAGAACTTTGTCACTTAGTCTCTTTCCCTCCCCACCAGAGATGACACCCTTGTACGCAAGGCATCCATCCCCTAAGAGGAAGAATTCAGTCTGGATCCTGGATCCAGACCCTCTAGAAGTCTTCCCCACCCACAGCTCCTCAGGATCTGAAGTCTGGTTGTCGGGGCCCCATCCCCATGCTCCCTGAGAGCAAGCCCTGTGGCTCCTTCTCGCTTCTCCACAAAGCCTGATGCCACTGGGTGGCGATGGGTGGTGTGTCTTGTTCACCAGCTCATAAACAGCCTGAGGAACTTGCCTGGGTGACCGCCCTGCCTGCCTTGGCCCCTTGGCCTTCGAGGTATTACCTCTTTGGGGCTCCCCTGAGAGTGTTGGTCTTTCAGAAGAAAGACTATGCCCCTGGGGCTGCTGAGAAGGAAGCCATGCAGAGAGGAAGTAGAGAGCTGGGGAGGCAGGGTGCAGCTCCGGGACAGGGCAGGGCAGGAGCCAGGCACAGATGTTGGCTGTGAAGGAGTCAGACAGCCTGAGCTTCCTTCTGGACCAGCCCCTCAGATGGGAGTCAGGCTGGACAATGGGTGATTGTGAGGAGGGGGGCCTCCAAGCTTGGGATCCTCTGAGGTTCCCCTCTTCCCTTGACTGCTGGTTGGTGTTTGTCCTACTCTCCTCATTGCCTAGGCAGCTGTCCTGAGTTCATCCGTTGCCACCCAGCGTACCCTGGGAGCCCACTCAGACCGAGGGATGGGGAGAGCAGCAGGTGAAGCGAGGGACACATGGGCTGAAGGACCAGGGAGAGGAGTGTGGAAGAGGAAGAAAGGGCTGGCAAGAGAGGCAGAGGTCAGGGTGAGGAGAGGAATGTTTAACACTCGGAGACAGGAGCCTGGACTGCAGGTGGAGACCAGAAAGATGAGGAAGAAGAGTGGCTGGGAGGAGGCAGGGCTGGGTGGCTTCTGCTCACTCCTGAGCCCCAGGCTTCGGGTATCTCATTCCTGTCCTATTGTTGCCACAGCTCAAGGGCCCGAGATTTTCCCCTAATTACATCCCCACCAGCCTTCCACCCTTAGCTAGGGTGAGACCACACTGCACATGCTTCGCCTGGGATCCCTAGCATGGCCCCGCCCCAGGCACAGGCCGGGCCCAGAAGGCAGAGGCCTTATCTCCAGGCCCCTCCCTCCTCCACCCCCCACCCTGACCCCAGCCTGGTTTATAGGTGCAGCCTCAAAGGGGGTTGGGTGGAATTTCCCTGGGGGTTGTCTGGTATTAGCTTGGGGTCATCGGGAGGCCTCTGGAGCCAAACTTTGCGAACTGTGGGGTTTAAAGCGAGGGTGGAGCAGGGAGAGGCTGTTGTTGAACATTTCTGTTTACTGAGGCCCCTACCCTGACCTGCCCACAGCCCACCTCACCCAGCTCCTAACTGGTCTTTTCCTGCCCCCATTTTATGATAGAGATTGGGTCTTTCTTCCCCTGCATATTCTTTCAAGGGAGACAGCTCCCTGGACAAGGTCACTCTCTAGCTGTATTGTACACACACAGCTACCCTCAAAAAGGCCTCAGCACACCCAGGCACACCCAAGATAGGAACTCACTCCAGCAGGGACCCGGAGGGACTCGGAAGCCACAGTCAGCCCCGAGCCCCTGGGTCGATTGCACTGTTGAGGCACTATGACGCGGCACAAACGAAGAAAATGGAACTCTACCTGGAGAAATTAGCCAACAGAGCTGCTTGAAGGTGTCTAGGAGGGAGTACAGGAAGGAAAATACTAGAACAGAAACAACAGCAAGAGAATTACACGCATAGTCCATGTAGCTGTTCTGTAGGAAGCATGACTGTGCTGTGTACTGATGTCACTGGGTGATGAGAGCCAGGTGGGCTTCTTCAAGAGAGCTTTGTTCTGAAGGGAAGGGAACAAGCATGTGTTCAGTGCCTACTCTGTGCCAGGTGTGTTCACATGTGTGCTCTTATTCAGTGTCAGCCACTCAACAAAGCTGTGATAGAGGTATCATCAGTTCACAGGGGAACAGGGCTCCGAGAGGTCAAGTCACTTGCCCAAGATCACACAGTGAGGAAGTGGCAAGCCCATCTGACTGCTTGACAGTGGGGCACCCCTACTTCCCCCTGTGTCAGACTGCTGAAGTGACAAACGTCAGCAAAATTTCAAGGAAGAGGAAGAACATGCCAAGTATAGGAGGAGGAGCGGAGAGATGGGGAGGGGAGGGAAGTGGAGTGTGGAGTCGACTGACTTGACTGGAGCCTGGTCCACCTGCTTTGAAATCCTTAATGGAAAAATAATCACCCAGATTTGCTGATTTTTTTTTTTTTAATCTTAACCAAGATAGCCTCTCTAGTTCTTACTGCCACCTTTGCCCCTGAGCATACCCTTCTCCTAAGCTCCCCAGTAATGTGGACCCGACCTGCACCTGCCACCGACAGTTGAGTTTGTTTCCCGCAGGTACAGGCTCCATGAGACTAAGCCCGGCAAGAAGAGAAGGCAGGAACGGTAGCGTGAGCCAGCACATACGTGGCACACACATGTGCCGGCACTGTTCTAGGCACATTGACTTAATCCCCACAACTTTCCTGAAAGATACTGCTAGCACTGTCATCCCTGTCACAGATGAGGCAACTGGAACAAGAGAAGTGTTTTTGCCAGGGACATGGGGGTAGCAAGTGTCGGGGACTTGAATCCAGGCAAGCTGTCTCCACGGGCATCGCCTAACCACCGTGTGCTGCCTTTATGGCTAGCAGATGTTGACGAGAGAGATTTCTGTGCCTGGCCCTGGGCTGTGCTTTCTGCAGGTCATCTCATGCAGGAGAGGAAGAGGCGGAGGTTTGGCCTGTGGTTAAGCAGTGTGATCTTTCACTAGGCCCACTCTGCATTTTGGAAGCCTCACTCGCATGGGCGAATATTAATGTCTGGGCCTACTGACTTGGCAGGGCAGGACTGGAAGGTCCCCCATCCACCTGTCACATTCAGCCCTGACCAGGCCTTGCACTAAAGGGTCAGCCCTGGGTGGCAGAATCCCCAGTAGACGCGGTTGATGGGGTATCAACAGGAATTTAATCATTAACCCCACAGAGACGCTGTGATGTTGCCACAGCTATTGAGGGTCGGGGCAAGTCAGAGAGTTCTCGAATGTGAATGAGCCATCTTGATACCCCAGGAAACTGCTGCCAAGGAAATCAAATGGTTCAGGGCCACACAGGGAGGTGGTGGAGGAGCTCCTGGAGGAATGTGCCGGTCCTTCCAGGCTTCTTTCTGTTAAGGAGCATCGAGTAAAGTGGTTCCATTGCGTAGGATCATCCTGAATCTTAGGCTGGGTATTTAGGGACACTCCTCCATGAGAACATACCAATCACTGTACGCCTCACTTTAAGTCCTGGTCTTAGGCTAAATGAGCATTCACCCCGCCCTCCTGCCTAAGCCTCATCCCAGAGCATCCTCATTAACTGACAACGATGCTTCTGTCTAATCACCAGGCTTTGCCAACCACACACGACATCCACCCTGCCCGAGGAAGGTCTGCCTGGAGCCGTGTCATAAAGTGACTGACCTGGACTAATCTGACCAAACACAGGGGACCCCCCTCTTCTCTGCTGCTTTTAAGTCCCCTGCAAAATTGGGTAAATAGGTAGGTATTGCATTAAAATAGAGTTCTTCATCTGCCATCCGCAGTTGGCTGGGTGTATAAAATGTCTCTGCCCTCAAGAGGCTTCAGCCCAAGGCAGGAGGGCCTAGATATAAAAAGGCGGTAATACAAAGCGATGCTTGTTAACTACCAAACACATGGTACAGAGAAGTGCTAAGGGAATCAGGTAAGGAAGGAGAGTGCAGCCATAGGTAAACAAAACAGTATCAAAATGTGAAAGACCCGAGAACATGCCGTGTGTCGTTGCATGAACTCATGCCTTCACTCGCATGCACACAGCCTCTCCACGGCTCCTTTCAGACAAAGTTCCAGTGAGTCCTGTTACTGTTTCCTACTCTTGTAAGGTCTTAAATATGTCTGGTCAGCTCCATTAGCATCTTCATTTTGTAAAAACACATACTAAAAACTATTTTTGAAGCAAAACCTTCCTCCCAGGATAAAACTTGCCTTCACTGGCCCTTGTTTTCGGAGGCGGCGCCCCTCCTCTGAGGTCTCTCCCTTTGGAGGCCTGTGGGGTGTCAGGTCCTTGGCTGTTTTCAATTAAACCCCTCAAGCTGAGTAAGTGGCTTTAGCAAGTTGATCTTCCAAAGGGTCAATCTTATTTTGAACCATGTCAAAACAAAATCAACTCAACCTAAAACACAAAGTAAATAAATACATCTGTTTGCAGATTTACCTTAAAAATTACAAGGGCAAAGCAAGATGCAGAGGGACCACAGAGCTTCCCACAGGACAGAGGGATCTATTTTGGTTTCCCCACATTAGGAGGCAAAGAAATGTCAGCACAAACCAGTGTCCTGGCCTCAGGGTGGTTAAGACTGGACTTGGGAGGGGCTGGGCCTGTGGCATAGTGGTTGAGTTCACGCTCTCCAATTTGGTGGCCTGCAGTTCACAGGTTCGGATCCGGGCACGGACCTACACATCACTCATCAAGCCATGCCGTGGCAGCGTCCCATATACAAAATAGAGACTGGCACGGGTGTTAGCTCAGAGACAATCTTCCTCAAGCAAAAAGAGGAAGATTGGCAACAGATGTTAGCTCAGGGCCAGTCTTCCTCACACACACACAAAAATAAACAAAAAGACTGGACTCGGGCCTGGGATGATTCCTGTCTCCTCCCTATCTTGGCCCAGGACTGGGGCAAGCTAATGAGAGAACATCCACTTCACCTGCTGTCGCCCGCCTCCTCATCCTTGCCTGCTGCAGACACAGGGCCAGGAAAGGTGTCTGGCCCTCAGGCACGTGGGCATCAGAGGCAGGGAGGGTGATGGCCACTGCTCAGCCCCACGTCAGGCTGAAACCTCCTGGGGTGGGTGTTAGCTGGTGACCCCACACTGATGCCAGCACTTGCGCCTGCCCCAGTCGCATTTGCCAGCTTCGCCCCCTGAGGAAGGAGCGCTCTGAGGAGCACGTCACCACAGGTGCTGGGTGCTAATCATCTGGACTAAAGAGGTGGACACTCTGCTTGCTGTTTGGGGTCTAAATTGGAGGGCATAAGAGGGTGGCCCAAAGTCATTTTCTTTGACGCAGGAGGTGTTTTTAAAACAATTTAATGGGTTGCAAAGGGTGAAATGTCAGAAGACTTCACAGGAAAATCCAGATTTATGGCTTCTCTGGAAAAGTTAGGATGTCTGGCTGTACTGGTCCCACAGTTCTTCCATGGCAACAAGTCTACCGAAGCCCCTCTGACACCCTCCCCTCTCATCCGTGTGTCCTGGGGCAGCTGCTCTGGGGGCCGCTGCGGGCATGGAACTGGCAGGCTGTTCCTGCTCTGTGGGGTTGTCCTTGCATCCTCTGAAGCCCCAGCCAGAGAACACCCCCGGCCGTTCCCAAGCAGCAGCCCACAGGGGGCCTCCGTCTGACTCTAAGGAGGAGAACGAACCCTTTTAATAAGAGCCCAGACAACTGAACTGGGGAGCACAGACTTGTGGGAAAGCATCCACACCCACAATTCGTCCACCCTTTACCGTGCTGCTTCCGTGCAGATCCAGAGCTTTCTGGGGCAGGAGGGCCAGAGGGGGGCCTCGCTGCTGAATCACTCAGTCCTCCAAGCGCCAGTCAGCGGCTCCCAGGGACTTCTGTCACTGTGCCTTCTGCCACCGTGACTCAACACAGGGGGAACTCCAGTGGCAAAAGCCCCACACCCTCAATCTATATGTGGAGCGCACTGTTTTGCTCATCAGCGGTCAATGTAAATTTTGCATAGATAAATACCAAATGGTGGTGTTCCTGGCAGACATGGCCTTGGGCCACCCCATAGTGATGGCAGGCCTGGTGGCGACTGTCCAGGATGGCCCTGGGCTATAAACCAGAAAGGAGTGGTAGTTTTAGAGAAACAAGCACTTGAAGAGTATCAGGAAAGAGTCTTCAGTGTTGTCCCAGTCATGAAGTTAGCAGCCACCCAGCCCAGACGCACACCTTCCTTGAAACGTTTATGCTTCATGTCTCCATTCATTCAACACATACGACCTGGAACCTTGAAGCTTTTTGACATGTGCTCTTCTCCTCTTCCTGGATGGACTGTAAGCTCCCTGAGGGCAGGGAGGGTGACATATTTCTTCAGGTCTCCTCACAGCACGTAAAACTGTGTTCCCCAACATTCCTGGTGACTAAGATGAGTGCTTATGGACAAATACCTAAAGTGCAAATGATTGAATAAATATAGACAGATATATGTAGATAATTAAACTTATCTACCCATCAGTCAACACTCATGAAATGGCAGTCAATTTCTGCCCATCACTCAACACTCGTGAAATGCTAGGGTGGTGTCTGAACAAAGTTTACAAATGGTATTGCTATTTTACTCCTTTTTTTAAAAAAAGAAAAATCCACCTCCCATCACCTCCTTCCTGAATGATCTCCTCCACCAGCCCCCAGCCCCGTCCCAAAGCTAAAGCATCACAGCTGGACGCTTTCCCCTAGAGGAGCCTGGTCAGCTCCTCAGGATTCTATAGAGCGGCTCCTGCCTGGAGGTGCTTACTGGGCGGGTGGCAGACAGTCCAATTACCCCAGCCCACAGGAAGCAATTTTTCACTCTGTGGCAATGACCACTGAGGATATGCCCACTTGGGAACTCCCAGAACCTTCCCAGACACACCCACCAACTTGAAACAGGGCAGAAGGGGCTAGAAGACAGAGCGCTGGGTGCATAATGGGTGCTGATTCTAAGCAGGCAAACGGCTGATGTGTGGTGACCCAGAGGGTGCCCTGGCCTGGAAATGAGACTTAGATTAGAAGCTAATTGTTGTGTAGACTCTTCCTAACTAATATGGGTAAAAGACTACTTGTCGGCGCAGTTAACGAGTATGTCATTTAAGATGATTCAGAGGGTTTCCACCTGTAGAAAAATCTCAGGGAGGCTAAAATGGGTGGTAAGGATCATGTCACAAGGAAGCTGAGAGCCAACGCTTGACCCCGGTCCTGCTGACCATCCGGTGTCCTCTCTCTGCTGCCTAGAGAAGACAGGCTGCCTGTAGCCCCGCCTTGCCCCGGGTGCTGGGGGCTCCTGACCCCTGACCCCTGCTCTCTCAATTCTAGCATCCTGTCTGCCTCCGCTGTTGCTCTGTCTGTTCACCACCTCCAGCTCACCTGCCCATAGATGTGACCAGCCCAGCTCCTGGAGGTATTCACATGTGTGATTCCTGCCCTCTGCTCCAACCTGGTCCCGAGTCACCCAGTCCTGCTAGGATAGTTCAGGCTCACTGGGCTTCCCCCATGACCTCCCCAGACCTGGCTCAGACCTGCTGCCTCATGCCTCAGTTTATCCTTTTGCATCTTCTCTCTTCCCTCTCCCTGTGAGCCTGCACCCTGCGTGTCCTTTGCTAAGGCTCTTCCTTCTGCCACGTCTTTGCTCCCAAGTGCCCTCAGTAGCAAGGGCCCTGCCCTCTTCTCTGACATCGTCCCCTCCTCTCTCTCTCAGAGGCCTGGCTGGATACTGCTCCTTGGGGAGGCCTTCCTTGGGCTCCCCGCCCCCACGTCTGTCTTCCTTGGCTGCCGTGAAGTATAGTGGAATGAGCATGGGCTCTGGGGGGCAGACACACCTGCATCTGAGTCCTGATGCTGCTCCTTTCTAGAGTGTGACCTCAGACAGGTCACGCCTTATTCTCTGCATCTGTAAAATGAGAGAGAATTCCAACCTGCATGCTTGTTATAAGGATTAGATTAGAACACATGAGACACGGATGTTAGCTCAGGGCCAGTCTTCCTCAGCAAAATGAGGAGGATTGGTGGCAGATGTTAGCTCAGGGCTAATCTTCCTCAAAAAAACCCAAAAAAACAAAAACACGTGAGACAGTTGGAACAGTGCTCGGCACATAGCAGATGATCAACAGCCATGACTTTCCTTCCTTCCTCTGACAGCAAGCGCAGCACTCACTTGACACTGCAGATGCTGCCCTCAGGCCATGCTGGCCAGGCCCTTCCTGGACTCGGAGGCCAGAGGCTGCAGGGATGGGATGTAGGAACCCGGTGCCACCAGGGCCTGACCCCATGCCAGGTGCCAGGTGGCTTGGAGTCACCCCAGTGGAGTCTCCCCAGCGCCAGGGAGGACTGCTCAGGCTTGGGGCGCCTATTCACCTCCCCTGCACCCGCACATGGAGGTTGGAGGGGTGGGGTCTGGAGCACGGAGCCAAAGCTCCGTCCTACTGCAGCCTTCACCTCATGGGAAAACCACTTCTGAGGGTGGGAGCTGATCCAGGAGTGCCAGGAAGGACCAGGACAGGACGGGAAGGGCCACCTCACGACCTCACCCCCACCACCAAGTACATGCACGTCCCTCCCCAGTGACCAACTGCCCCCTTTGTGGGGGAGGCAGCTTCTTCAAGGCTCTGGAGCAGTAGCGTCTTGCCCCAGCCTTCTCTCAGGGCAGAGAAGCCAGTGTACCCTAAAGAGAGCCCTCTCAGAATAATCCATCCTTCCCTGGACACCCTGGGCTCTGCGCACTCTGCATTTAGACCGAGGGAGCTCTCTACAGACCAAGAAGAATCTGCTTCATTCATTCATGTAACAAATACTTATGGAGCACCTACTCTGTGTCAGACATAATCTAGGCCCTGAGGATACAGCCAACGACAAGGTGCCCACCCTCAGGAAGCTTAGGTTCGAGTGTAGGAGACAGACAGTCAACAACTGTGTAAGGTCGGAGGTGGTAAATGCTCAGGGGAAAAAGCAGGCTGAAAGCTGAGAGTGAGTCATGGGGTGGAGGGCGGGTGAGCTCTTCAGTGTTCTCGGTCTCTCCCCCTGCTGTGCAGTTACTGGCAACTTTTTAGGTGAACAAAGAGAAAACACACGATTACGCTTGGCAGGAAATTCCTCAGGTAGGTCTCCCATCAAGGACAAACATTTTTGCCCCAGCAGTTTATGACCCTCTGGGTCATCTGCCACCACTGCCAGCCCCCTGGGCCAGACTTGAGCAACTAAGCCAGCCTTGGCCTGGCACCTTCCTGCCTCCTGTTCGCCTCCTCCTTCCCTCCGCAGTCTACACTGTCTTCTGGACTCCAGGCCTTTGTTTCACAGACCAGTGTTTTTTGTTTGTTTAATTTGTTCTCCTTCTTTGGCCACCTTCTCCAGTGACAAAGTTTATGGGCCCCCGATCACATCCAATCCCAGAAGATGGCTTTCTAGCTGGAGCACGAAAAGGATATTCTGGAAGTTACGTACTTTCCAGTGCTTTCCTCCCCACCAACCAGACAGGAGGCCAGATAGCCCACCTTGACTGTCCCGGGGTATCCCCAGACGGGCTCAGATCTCCTCCTACTCCTCTCGAGCTTCCCCACCTTCAGAAGGGAGCCCCCAGGTCTTCAGAAATGAGATCAGCTTATCTTCCCTGTTAGCTCTTTGCGGGAGTGGCTCTGCTATGCCCAGCCCTAGTTTCCTCCACACTCCTCATCTCTCAAAGTGCCTCCCCGGCCCCCCCCCCCCCCCACCAACCCCTCTTCTCACGTATTGCCGCAGGGAGTTTTTAACCTTGAGGTGTCTGTGATTGCTGGTTCACGTCTGCGACCTCCTTGCGGGCAGGGCCAGGTCTGTTCTGCTCGCCTTGACTCCGCAAAGCCCCGCCCAACGCCTGGCAGATAGTGGAAGCTTAACAAGCAGTCGTCAAATGTGCAAATAAAAGACATCCAAGGTACAGTTATATTGGTAATGCACGTGCAACAGTCAAAGACTAGGGAAACCAAAAAGGAAGGTCTGGCTGAGTGGTAGGCCCTAAACCTTGGCTCCCTTATAAATAAATGATGTTTATTATAAATAGGTCCAACCAGGGATGTTCCCTGGTGTGTAAATTTATGAGATGCCTTATAAAGTATGAAAAAATGGAAACAGTTTTAATTGTAAAGAAAAAAAATAACATGAAACACACACGTACGCACACACTTCCTCCTGCTTAGCTCAGGCGCCGAGACTGGGCGCCCTCCCCAAGACCTGCTCTGGACACGAAAAGAAAGCGAGACTGAGCCCAGCCAATCAGAAGTCAGCATTTCCAAGGCCCCGCCCCGCACACGGGTGACAGACTGCATGCTCCGTCCTAGTCTAGCGCCACCTGGAGGTCGAGGCGTGCAAATGCGGCGCTTGCAGACAGGTTTGTCTGCCCCGACCTGTCGCGGGCTTTGTGGCCAGAGAGATGTGACCTCGGGTCCCCCGCCCCCGCAGTCAGACCGCCTAGGGGCCCGCTGTGGGGTGATTCAGACAGGAACCTCCGAGGAGATGTCAACAGGCACATTTCTGCTGTTTACTCAAGTGACTTCTCCCACAACCTTCCCCTAATTCCTGTTGCAGATTATCCCTACTTGACCAGAAGAATGGGTTTGATGGGGAAAAGTGGCTCAGAAAAGTGACACAGTAGTGATTTTTAAATACTTCAATAGCATCTCTTTTGGGCAGATGGATGTGGAGAGGGGACCTGGTTCCCAGTCAGTGGGGCAAGGGTGCATGGGCTGCTCCCCTCCCTGCAGCTAGTGGCCCGGAGGTCCCAGGAGGGGCCCAGGCTGCTGGCACTGCACCCGACCTCATGTCTGACAGCCAAGGCATCTTCAGCTCCCAGATCTCTGAATGCGCCTGACTGGGGGCCTCCTTCACCGGGTCAGGGCACAAACTAAAGTAATCATTATTTATTTCACAGTCCTTTTTCCTAGTTTTTTTTTTTGCTGAGGAAGATTCTCCCTGAGCTAACATCTGCTGCCAATCTTCCTCTTTTTGTATGTGGGCCACCCCCACAGCATGGCCACTGACAGACGAGTGGTGTAGGTCCGCTCCTGGGAACCGAACCTGGTCGCAAAAGCAGAGTACACCAAACTTAACCACTAGGCCACCAGGGCTGGCCCCTTGTTCCTAATTTGAAAGGAGGTCTAAGGAGTATCCCTTCTGAGGACACTGGAGACTTGTTTGGCTCAAGGTGGGTCTTTCCCTTACGTCCATCAGTGGCCCTCAGGATGGTCCCTTGGGCGCTGCTGGCTCTCCACTGCAGGAGAGGTTTGTTCCACAAGGAGGGGTCCAGTCAGGCTGGGGTGGCAGGCAGGCAGCCCACCATCTGGGAAGTCCAGGTGTTCCCGGGACCCCAGAAATGGGGAAGGTGGAGGAGGGGGGAGTGTGGGAAAGAGGCATTTTCATTTTACTGAGCACCTACTAAATGCCAGGCACCATGTTATATTTCCGACCAGGACAGCAGCCTCCTCACAAAGGCCCAAGAAATCTGGTTTAAAAAGTATGTTAATGTATAAATTGAATGTCACATTCATTTTACACAAAGGAGAATATCCCCTTGGGCTCTTTTTCTACCACCTCGCCTTGCTTCTCTTGTCTGTGGCCCAAAAAAAGTGGGAGTCAGTGGGTACAGAACGGAAAGGCCAAGGTATGCCACCCAAATCTCCTGGGAAGGGAGATGAGGTTAGTGCCAGAGCAACTGTGAAAACTGGGAATACAGATCCAGGCCTCTCCCTGGGGGGTGAGGAAGAAGCTCGTGGTCTCAGAAGAAACTGGCTCTGGAAACTCCAGCAGGCTGCGCCCGGTCAAGGGGGAACCGACAGGGCAGCTCCGGGGGCCCTGCTCCCAGTGGCTGCTGGGAAGGGAGGGTCGCTGTCAGCCCCCCAATCCCGAAATCTGCTGAGTCAGGACTCCAGGGGGCTGGGGGAGCCACTTTGTCCAAGACCACCACGGTGGTGAGAGGACTGGCTTCTCCGGCACCCCCATTAGCCCTGGCAGAGCCAGCAGCAACCCCAGGACCTAAGACGGGCCCTTCCTGCCACTCCCTGAGTGAGAGCCCCAAAGCCTGCAGTCCCTGGGCACTGAAGGGAGGTGCCTGCGCTGGGGGTGAGCTGAGGCAGGCACTGCCGGACTCTGAGAATTGCCGAAGCCTGTCCTTTCCCTCTCTGCGGTAGCCTCGATTTCCCCTCCTAGTTGCAATTTCCTCCTTGTTCCCTTGTCCCCAGGAACATGCTAACCCCAGTTTGGGTCAGGAAAACTGGCCCCTGAGGCCCGCGTTCTCCCTGCCCTCTCCCAGGCCGCCTCTTCTCCCTCCACTGCTCTCCTGCCCTGCTCATGGCCTCCATGGCCTCCATGGCCCCGGGGCTGCAGGTCACAGGCAGCTCCGGGGAATGCATCAAGTGCGGAATAAAAGGCTTGGTCTCCTAGTAAAGAAATTTCAAGATGTCTGGGGGCAGGCCAGTTTTCTAAATGCTCCTCAGATGCCGGAAGCTGGGATGCTGTGGGGGGAGGATACTGCAAGGGGCAGGGGTGGAGGCTAGGGTTAGACAGAGCTCTGAGCCTGAAGTCCCACACGCGGTGGGGAGCAGGTGAGCGGACAGACGAGCTGGGGCCCCTGCCTCGGCCATCCTTACAGGCTCCGAGGAGCCCCGGTCCCTCAGGAAACTCCATGTGGGCACAGAGTGGGGCTGGGGGTCCAGATCTGGTTCTGCTCTGCCACTGACTTGCCAAGAGGCCTCTCTGGGCCTCTGTGGCCTTGTCCTCAAAACTGGCATAGCCATCGCTGGCCTCCAGGTTTGTGACTAGGGTCTAAGGAGAGCTCGCTCTGAAAGCCTGTTGTAGACATTGTGTCATGTGGAGGGGATTTTCCTCATTCCCCTCTCCCCGTGTGAGACGGGGGACAGAGGGAAGGGGGCGTGGCAGTTAAGAAAAGTGCTGTCAGCTGGCGTTTGTGGAGTGCTTGCTACCTGCCAGGCGCTGTACCAGGTGCTCAGCATTCTCCCATTTCATCTTGCAATGACTGCATGAAACAGGCAGGATCATCGCTTTCAATATTACTCCAAGCTCACAGCATCTGGTGAGTGGCCAGGCTGGCACTCGAATCCAGGCCTGCCTGAAGCGAGGCCCCTGCCCTCCGCCCTGACACCATCCTGGGACAAAGCTTTCCCTGAGGGAGCCCCCTGGCCTGGGGAAGCGCCTTAGCTGGAAGTCGGACCTGAGTTTGGTGCTCTTCCCCAGCTCACTGTGTGGGTTTGGGAAACTTACTTAACTTCTCTGGTCCTCCCATCCTCTCTTTTGTTAAGCCAGGGATTGTGTCATGTCAGATGTCAGATCCTTGGGAGTCACTTCTGCCATCACTTCTCCCGATCCTATGTTGAGTTAGAAAAGGAATAGAAGTACAAAAGGGAGTCAGACCTGGAGTGGGGAGCCTGGGCCCCAAAGTGGGCCTCGGGATTTTCCCCAGTCTTTGAGCATCCCTATGTGTGGTTTGGACTCAACCACCCAGGAGTGTTCAGGGAGCCTGTTACCAAGCCCATGTTTCAGAAAACTAAGGCCCAATGAGGAAAAATGACTTCTCGGAGTCAAGAGCAAGTTAGAGGCAGAGTCGGATGGAATCCAGATCTCCCCACCCTTTGACAGGCTGCTCTCAGCCCCAGCTCGGAGCAGAGGGGGAAGAACAAGAAAAGGGGTGTCTGCAGGGCTGCGGTCCTTTCGAAAAGCCCTAAAGGAGAATCCATTTCTTTGCCTTTGCCGGCTTCCAGAGGCTGCCCACATTCCTTGGCTTGTGGCCCCTTCCTCCATCTTCAAAGCCAGCGATGGTGGGTTGAGTCCTCACATCGCATCACTCTGACGCCGACTCTTCTGCCTCCCTCCTCTACTTCTAAGGAACTCTTGTGATTACGTCGGCGCCGCCAGGATAATCCAGTTTCTCCCCCATCTCCAGGTCGGCTGATTAGCAACCTTAATTCCATCTGCACCCTGAATTCCCCTTGCCATGTGACCTAACATAGTCAGCTTCCAGGGATTGGGACGTGGACATCTTCGGGGCGTGGTTCTGCCTACCACATGCCCCTCGTCCCACAGGGGACTTCCAAAAATAGTTACACTTCCTGCACCTCTGAGATGTGGGTTGAGATATGTACCTGCTACTCTCTTCTACTCGCCTGCCTAAAGAGTCTGTGTCCGGCCCCAGCCTCGTCCCTTGAGCATTTCCCCTTGGTTCCATTTCCTGCCTCCCTGTCTCTCTGTGCGTCCCTCCCACAAGTGGACCCATCACTTCTGGGCTGGACAGCTCCAAACTGGCGGGGGACCAGGACATAGGCCCAGGTTGCTGGCCAGCCTCAGCAGGGGAAGGGGGATCTCTCCCCAGACAGGACAGGGGGCTGGTGGATGGTGGCTGCAGCGTCTGAGAGGTGGCAGTCCTGGCATGTGGAACTGCTTCCTGTCCCCCCCCAACCCCCCCATCCTGAAGAGGTTCCTGTGCCTCGATGGCGATGGCAAGTGCCAGTTGGTGAAACAGAGACGGTGAGCCAGGCTCTGCCTGCTTGGGTGGCTCTGCTCTGCTGGGGGCCCAGGGTGGGTGGAGGAAGCAGGCCCAGGCAGATGAGCTGAGCTGGGAGCTGGGATCGTCTGGGAACTGGTGGTGGCTCTGTCTGCATAAAGAGGGGTGGAGGCCCTAGTCTGTCCATGTTGCCCTGACGGGCTGGGGGCAGCTGGGATTGGGATCACCACTTGTCTCCGTCCATTCGGTCTTCTGCCCTCGTACTCTCCTGACGCTGTCCTCCCGGGGGCCACCTGGGGAAGTCTGAGCTCAAATCCAGCCCCCTTGTCTTTGCCCCCTGTAGTAGGCAGCTTCTAAAGTCGTTTCCTGGTAATCAGACCCTGGTGTAATCGCCTCACCTTGAGTGTGGGCTGGTCCTGGTGACTTGCTGTTCACGAAGAGAAGAGGGCAAATGCTTCTAAGATCTGGTTATAAAAGGCTGTCTTCCGTCTTGCCCGCACACACTCTTTCACTCCCTCCTGCTTGTCACTCGAATGAAGTCAGTGGCCATCTTGTGAGCTGCCCTGTGGAGAGGCCCACATGGCAGGGAACTGGGGCAGCCTCTGGCCAACAGCCAGCATTGAATGGAAGCCCTCAGTCCCACAACCCAGAAGGAACTGAATCCTGTGAACACCCATGTGAGTGAGCCTGGAAATGGATCCAGTCTCAAACCTTGAGTATAGTGTGGTCAACACCTTGATTGCAGCCTGTGAGAGACCCTAAGCCAGAGGACCCCACTAAGCCACCCACAGGTTCCTGACATGCAGAAACACCTGAGATAATAAATGTTGTTGTTTAAGTCACTAAGATTTGGGTTAATTTGTTATGCAGCAATAGATAACAAATACACTCCTTTCTCCTTGACCCCGTTGCCTCATCAATGCCAAGTCTCTTTGTCCTTGGCTTTCGTTCACTCACCTGATTCTCCCCTTGCCTCCATGAGGCTCATTCTGTCTCCCTTGTGTCATCTCTTCTCATCCCCAGATTGTGGTCTGCCCCAGCATCTCTGGCTCCACACCCCCCAGAGAGAGCCCAGCCATTCATGGCTTCAGTAATGAGTATGGCGTCTATGGTGACATTCTTCCAGTTGTTTCCTCCATCCCACCAGCACTTCTGCGTTCGGTTCCATTTCTCCTCTGGCCCCGGAGTATATATTTTATCTAGATGTTACTATAACAACCCAAATCAGTTAATATGTCCCTTCTCGTCATCTGTTTTCAGTCAGCAGTAGATGTTGCCTTTGGAAGGTGGCTCCTAGCTGCCCCATACCCCCTGCCAGGACTGAGTACAAATCTCCTCGCTTCCCAGCTGCCTCTCTCCAGTTGGGACTCACCTTCCTTAAACACGGCATTGAAGATGGCAGATAATCAATGACTCTCAAGTCTCCACATTTCCCCTTGAACCGGC